CACAGGAAAGATCATAGTGTGCGAGACCTAATTTAACTTGTTTTAAAGGTCCCATATTTTACACCGTTCTGGAGTTTTATTTTAGGTTCTGATGTCCTTAAGAATATATATTTGCGGTATAAGTACCGTACGTTTTTTTTAATAATGTTAATTGTTGAACTTTAAAGTAATGTCATGGCTATAATGAACACTGACGTTTGTTCTATATTGTTTGGTCAAGTTAAAGTGCTAGATTTGACTGATTCACGGTCGCACTAATCAATGAATTGAATGGACCTTTTGTTTGTGGGAAGTTAAACTAAAGTACAATATAGGTTAGTGCATTATACTTCCCTAGAAAGGCAAACAGCAACTACTTAGCCTACAGTTAAACTGAAAAAAGTGACTCTGGATCGATTTTTAATTCTTTTGATATTAATTTTCATAAAGTTGAGGAAAAACCCGTCTGCCACAGGAAAGATCATAGTGTGCGAGACCTAATTTAACTTGTTTTAAAGGTCCCATATTTTACACCGTTCTGGAGTTTTATTTTAGGTTCTGATGTCCTTAAGAATATATATTTGCGGTAAACCCAGCGCTTTGTCTTTGCACGACATTGTACGGTTAGCACGTGCCGTTTCTAGACGATTGACAACACGCTGACAGTCCAGTTTCCGTATGACTGGAGCAGAGTTACAAATGTCATTATCGTTAACCAAAGTCCACAGGTATTTTCGGTCATATTCTTCTTTTTCATTTTTAATAATCGGAAAACACGCCTGAGCAGTTGATCAATATAGAGCCACTCTCATTTTCAGTTTCGTTTTAGCTCGTCCAACTAATTTTAATAGAACTAAAATATGCCGCTGCATAGCCTATGCTTTTTTAATCTGGCAAATATGTCTACATAGTGTTATATCAGGCAAATGTGCATATGTTTAAGTAAGTAAAACTTACTGGTCGGGCTCGAAACATGGTCTCCGGCGTACATAAACTCAGTATTTACCATGACGACAACACGCATAACAAAAATCACACTAATGCTAATCCCTTAGGCTACGAAAATTAACCCCCAGATAGCACACATAGGTCTGCAAGATGTTTGTTAAAAATTGCTTCATCTGGAAAGCATCTGCTGTACAAACATCTGATGCCAGTTTTACATACATTCTAAATGATAAACATCTTAAAGACATTTTCTAGATATCTATTTTACGTCTGACAGGAAACGTCCTATACGTATTGCAGATGAGCAAACACTGAAAAATACGTCTTGCAGATGTAAATGCAGACGTCAAATAGACGTCTCCGTGATGCACGTATGCTATCAAGGCCATGGTTTTATTTATAGTAAGTGTAGTAACCATGTTTTTTTGGCGTATTGATTACCATTTGTATAACCAGTTTTACTACAAATACCGTGGTTAAACCATGCAAAACCATTACCACAACCATTAGTGTAGCAAAACCATGGTTAATTTGTGGTTACCATATAGTAACCATGTTTTGTTTTTTGTAGTAAAACCATGGTTTTTCGTAAGGGATATCTTGTAAGTGACTTATTCCTACCAGCATTTTCCATAAAAATGTCAAAGAACACAGTAAATTATTGT